TGTGAGCGTGGACGTGGGCGTAGACGTTGGCGTGACTGCTCGCGCCGCAAGACCAAGACCACCCGCGGCCTCCACTCGCACTCTCTGACAGAGGATTAACGTCTCTTGCAACCGTTTGTCTCAGGAAGTTTCTTGCTCCAGAGGCGAGTCTCTCTCGAACATTTGGCACGAAGGCGCACAATGACACATGCTACAACCACCTTCTTTTTGTTGGTCATTGCGAACTTGGCGGATGACAGATCCTCAAGAAGCAGCCGCTTGCAATAGCAGCACCATAAAGGTCTGATCATCGGGTCTGAAGCGACCAGCAGTATACTGAGCCGAGCATCTAGGCTGATCTTACGCATTCATGGCCGTTGTACAATCAAATATGTTTGCTGCGAAGCTCAAAGTGCAACGAAGTGGGAGCCCATGAACGCCGAGGGACATTACACCCGTTCTTACTCGTTTGGAACTTCTATGAAGCAATGAGACAGGTTATCCTGCTGCTATACTAGAGGGCAGTATCTCGTCCTTATAACGAGGTCAGTATTTCTAAACTCCCTCTCCTTTACAAGTACGCGTTGTCTTGCGCCTGATCATTCAACGGCCCACAGCCATGTATATCGGAATCAGCGCTGTCCTCGCAATCAACCTCCCCGTCCTCATTCTCGCATTTTCTCCGCATTGCGATGCAAAGGGACCAGTTGCGACGTGCAGACAGATCGCTAAAGCGGTCTCCTCGTTGTCTGCTGTTGCGTGGCCATGTTAGTGTTCATGCATTTCCTACTAAGAGCACGATGATATAGCTCATCACGGACCTTCAGCCTCTCCGCAGTACGCGAAGGACATCTCGCACTGGCAGGAGTCTAGCGTACAGATCGCAGCTTGCTCGGTTGAACCAGGTACTGCCGAAGATGTTGGGAAGATTGTAAGTCGGGTTCATTCCGTACAGTATGAACTATACGGATACTTAACACACCCGCTAAATCTTGTGAATGCCATTCAGCGATTGGTTGGTGCGAACAAGACTCCGTTCGCTGAATGACTCCTCATAGTGGCCCTCGATCCACACATCTGATGCTTCGTGCGCCGGACAGGTCAAAGTACAACGGAAATAGCCCACTGGCAGGAATATTTGATGACTATCTGGCTATCCCACAGGCGAGCCGCAATATATCAACCAGGTCTTTCACATCCTTTATGGAATCCATAAATTACTCGGGAGTTCTTGCACCCTCTGGAAATCGGTAGGAGATGACGCTACTCCCTTCCTCATTCGAGCTGAAATACTATCATGTTTCGCTCAGATCTTTATTCAATGCTGTGGCCGTTGCTGACTTTAGCAGAGCAATATTGGACGCTGCCTTGAATGAAACAAAGGTATCTTAGCGTTCGGTATGACGTCTTACCACGAGGCTCATGGCACGAACAGTTTTGGGGCGAACGATTGAGCAGAAATGCCTCTGCGACATTAATTCGCTATGCGCTGAACCCTTCTTACCAAGCATCCTCTCTCATGCCTTTGGTTCCTCTGCCTATCCACCCAACAGGGCTCAAAGATTCCAACCTCAGGCCATTTATTATTATACGTGGGAGGACCCCCAATCCGACGAGGTCATGCAAGACGCCGCTCGTGCTAGTGCATGTCAACTTAGGAACGTTGCTCTCAGTGAAGGTCAAGATATAGCAGATGCCCCTCTGTATGGTAAGTATGCCATTTTCGACACTCCCGTCGAGCAGATCTACGGGAACAACTTGCCAAAGTTGAAGCGCATCAAGGCAGAATACGATCCAGACAATGTCATGGGCCTCTCCGGTGTTCTGAGTAGGAGAGGCTGATTTGGTAGGCTCTGGGCGATCTGCCTTTGTCTGCATTCGCGAGATCCTGCATGAAGTTATTTTTGCTGCGCATTGACTCCACTCAAGTCGATCATTTTTGTAGTAACACTCTGCAAGTCTTGCCAATTGCCATCAGCATTTACATGGTGCATGCATTACTATATATCATAGATAAGTGGTTAATTACTACTTGCAATACATATGCAAGATGCACGAGATTGTTCAGCAACTAAAGAGTGTGCGCCCCCTCAGCTTCTCGATGTCAGGTGAGGCCGCTGAAACCTTGTCTATCAGTGTCATCCAATACACAGAGCTGACTGATTCAAGCTGATTAGCCGTTCACCATCGCCTCGCCTTCTTAGCAGGCGAGGGAGCAGCGGCGCTCGTGCGTGTGCTCGTGGAAGGAAGCCCTTGCGACGCCAGCATACCCGATAAAGTCTTTTCGGAATTCGTTCTGACTCGCTTTTCCAGTCGTTGTTCCGGCGTAGCGAATTGGTCCTCAAATACACGATCATGTTCGAGCCAATCGTCCCGTTTCAGTGCGTCATCGAATATGTTCAGTATTCCATCCCCAGATTCGAGGTCCTTTTGCAGCTTGTCAAGCTCTTCGAAGTGCGACGGGTCAGGATTGCGGAATACCCGGAGAACGAAGATTTTGCCAAAGAATCGTGTGAGATCACGGATTAACTTATCCAGTGGTGCACATTCCCAGTGGACGGACTTCGGAAGGCCAGACATAAAGAGCTTTTCCTTACCCCTACCGCCTCGAGGTATACCGTCGGCTGCTTCATCTACTCGAACCTCATCAAAGAAGGCGATAGAAAATGTGGAAGGTTTCTCCTTGAGCTTGAGGTAGTGCAGGGATACGTTGAGGAGAACCCAGACGGCAGATTCGACGTCATCTTGAACACTGTGTTTTTTATGCGGATCCTGGAGAAGCGCGATGGACAAAAATTGCCAAGTACCCTGGAAGCAGGTAAGTGCCGCTCTTATTGTGAGGCAACAACATAACTCACTGTGCGCCCTAATCTCATGTTTTCGCATGAGCTGGCAAGGTCCCAGTCATTCAAGAAACCTCCTTTGTTTTTATCAAGCAATATGTTGCCCAAACTGAGGTCTCTGTGTAGGATACTCGCCTTGTCTCGAGCTTCGTACACACCTATCTCAGGTGATCAGAATCTTGAAAGTGAGAATGATTGTCTCGTCATAAACTCACATTGAACTGCATCTCGGATTGCGGCAACAACCTCTTTGGAATTCTTTGCAGAATACAAAGGGAAACCGAGCTGTTGGATAACTCGGCAGTGGACACGTGGAGTCATATCGTTGCAAGGCTTCATCCATTTTGGCCTCTCCTCCTCCAGTGTTAACTTGCTAGTGAGTGTCTCTTGCATCATGTAATGGCCTTCCTCGTCGGTAACAATCTCCATAGCTTGATCTTCCATGTGGGGAAGATATTTGACGTCTCCAACGAAGAGGTTGGTGGCCAGATGTGAAACCCCCGCCTTGTTCAGCGTATCGTATATATCGTGCTCGGTTTGGAATCCTTCGTCATCGGTACGCCATGTGTCTTTGAGGCATGCAAGCTCTCCCGTCTCGGCACAATATGCGGCGTAGACTCGAGTTGCGCGACCACACGGTGTTCTCTCGTCATGAAAAGGCATCCCTACGACAAATTGGAGCTTATCCTGCTTATCCTCTTCCGTGCGCTCCACAGTCACTACATGCGGCGCAAAACACTCATTGCCCATCGTGTGCAATACTTGAGAGGCAGAGAGACCGCGTGCTCTGGCATCCATGGCGAAATCTTTGATGGCATCCTGTAAAGCCTCCTGCTCTTCAGAGGATGCGATCTTAGCTGTGGGATCATGCCCGCGTAGTTCGCGCGTTAACCTGGAATACTGATAGAAGAACGCAGCTAACTTCTCCGGTTCCTGATAAATGTCGAAGTACGCAGAGACGGTACACCCCGAACGATCCCAGCGCAGGAACCTGACCCGTCTTCCGCAAATCTCGACTGTAAACAGAAAGCATCGGTGCTGGCAAGCCATTAAGTCTGCAGCATGCTTTGTGAGTAAGCTCCTTGTTTCGTTCCCTTCTTCCGTTTCGCTCTCCAGTGGTTCTCCGTCCTCATCACTGAATGCGTCATGCGACTCGTTTGTCCTGAGCTCGATGTATATCTCACAATGAGACCAGATCGGCGCGGAATGTTCATCCACTCCCTCCGGGAGGAGCATCAGACCGGAGGGAAGATTCTGCTCAAAGGCAGTTCGAGACACCAATTTATACCCGGGACAAACACCTTTCATATTTCCCTTCAGCAGGGTTCTCTGCTCGTATGGGTGAGATTGACTAGAAATCGTCGTATGGATATTTCACACTCACAAGAAGATCATATACCGTCGACTCATAACCTTGCGAGTGGCCCCAATCGATGTTCGGTGCGTTCACGCAGCGACCAACGAATCTATCCTGGAACTTATCCACGGGCATCGGTCCAACGAATCGCTCCGACTTCCTCACCGGAACGTCGCGCATACTCGTCTCGCGAGTATCGGTACGTGTGGACAAAAGTTGAGTGCATGTGTAAGTGCTGTAAGCATCATGATCGCTCCTGACAGGCGACGATGGCGGAGGGAAATCAAGCTCTGAGAGAGTCCTTGAAAGCTTCAGGGCGAGGCTTAATGCTCGAGCGTTGGACGGGTTGGACAGATCTGCATTCATGTTCTGAATGAGAGTGAGAGGAAGAGTATAAAGACGTGGTATAACGCACCCGCTGTGGTTTATATACGTCAAATCGGACGTGGCCCATCTCCGCCTGAACAAAGGAATCTGCTGTATTTGGAAGACAATGGGTCGGGGCGCATGGCAACTGCTGTAAGCGAACGCGTGGCCTTTGTCACGTATCTGGACGCGTCACGGTTCTCTTCACACCCCTCAATTCACGTGACCGCGTTTGCAAGAACTCGGACTCGACGTCTGCTGAGCCCCGAAGTGGTCCAGCACGAGGAGTGCGAGATAAGTACACGGGGACATAATGATGCCCATGATTAAAAGAAATAAATGTGGGAACAATAGCTCGCAACATCGCAATCGTTGCAAGTTAAAAATATAGCGGGAAGTAATAAGAGGACATACACCGACCAAAAGGTCGCAGGTATGTCCAAGTTTATCCTCCATGCACTAAGGGGGAATCGAACCCCCGGCGGGTCGACAAATCTCATCAATCGCAAGACGATGGCAACGACCCAGGTTACCACTACCCCATTAGTGCGTGCCTATGATGTAAACCGCGATCAATATTTCATGCATCGCTGTATATGATCCAAGTAGAGTTCAATGTCGATGATCATCGATATTGTCCAAATATCGTCATTTGTTTCGCTGTACTGTACTACGTGGACAAGAGTGAACAACCTTGTGGAGAATATGTACAAGAAGTACGAAAGAGAAGCGTGTCAAAATGGGTCAGAGAAGAATTACGAAAGGAGTACGTAGTGGTTGTATGTCGTTAAATATGAAAACAGGGAAGATCTATGGCTACAGTGGTGGATACTTGTATTTGGCGTAAGGTCGCATTGTCAGTTTGTGTGTTGCTAGGATCGTAAGATGGTTTCGTCATCAAAGCGAGACAAAAGAGAAAAAGCGTTTAACGAGAGCAAAATGAGTGTGCAGTCGATGTTGGTGCTTCAAAGCAAAAGGGATGCAAATGAAAGAACGAAGAGAGTGAATGCGAAAGCGAAATGAAGGGAGAGGGGAAGATAGGTTGGACGAACTATCACCGCATGAAGATCTCAACGGGAATAGGCTTCCTGCGCAACCCATTGCTAGATGTACTCTCCCCGCTATCGCTAGAGGTATCAGAGCTCATCCTGGAGCTCCTACTATCCCTCCTCTCCAAATCCAACGACCGTTTCGCCGCCGGGCTCAAAGGAACCTTCGACGGGTACGAAGTTGAAGACGAGGATGACGAGGAGGAGGTGGAAGAAGTGGAAGACTTGGGCGTCCTGAGTGACTTGGACGATTTTTGATGTTTCGGTTTCGAAGGAGACGAAGTTTGACTCCCACTACCGCTTCCGCCCAGATGGAACCGAGTGATCCAAGACGAAGGTGAGAGTGGCAGTCGAGACTGGTGCTGTTCAAATGTAGAAGAAAGCGTGGAGGAGGACCACCGTGAGCGTAATGTTCTTTCACGCGTATCGAATTGGGTTTGCGAATGGGTAGGAGTGGGGACGGAAAATGATGAGAAGCTGGGAGAGTACATACTAGGGCTGTCCGGCAGTGCGGGCCCAGCTGCTGCCTTATTGATATCGCCATTGTCGTGATTGTACGTCGGAGTTCGAATGGTCATGTCGAAGGAGGAGATGGGAGTAAGCGGTAGTGCGTCGGCGCTCATCGATGCTTGGGAGTAGATGCTAATACTGGGAGCAGGCGAGATGGGGAAAGTAGGCAAGTCGTACTCCGAGATGAACAGGTCCATCACGGCGGAACGACTGTCGACCATAACAGCCTCGTCTTCGAAGAAATCGTTGATGTCGGCAGGAATAGACATTCTGGGAGGTGGTCGTGCACCGGTGGGTGTGTCTACAATGAAGGTACTGCTAGGCGTAACAGGAGTCGTGGCGAATTGCTCGGGGGCAAAGAACCCTTCTGTATCCAGGGCGGCGTTGGCAAGGAGAGCGAGAAGCTCCTCCGTCTTCTCTTCCATCGTCGGTGAGGGACATGTCTCGACGATGATAGGCGGAGGAGGGGGAGGCCTCGTAGGAATGTATCGTGAGACGCGCTTGCTTTCGTGGAAAGTAGGGTCAAGCTGGGTACTGGGGCCGCGAGTGGTCTTCACACTCAGAGGGACAACAGGAAGAGCCTTGTTGCGCGGCGGGGGAGGGATCGAGTCTGGCCGTGTGCGAGAAGTCGTCGCAGTCGGAGATGGTGGAAGCGGGGTAGTCAATGTCACGACCTCTCCGAGGTTCTCAGCCAGCCAAGCCGCATCCTCGCCATCACTCCATTCCTCCTCGGACTCCTGAGCTGCGAAGGCCTTGCGAGGAAGAGGGGGACGCTTCAAGTCCGGCATTGACTTCATGAACATGATAGATGCACGCTGCGACTTGCAGGTAGGAGATCGAGCAAGACGTGCCTGGGGCATCGACTCGTCGTCGGACGTTACAGGGGTCAAGGGCATCGTGTGGGAAGCTGCACTAGAACCACTGCTTGTCCTGCTGCTCGCTTCCGATGGCGTAGGCGAAGGTTCTCTGCGTGAACTAGAAGTAGATTGTCTTGGAGGAGGGGAAGGGAAGTCGAGTGAAATGCCGAGGCCGGAGAAGCGAAGGTTGATTTCGTCAAGAGGAGATTCCATCGAAGGGGTACTGGAAACTGGAGGTTTCGGTGCAGGTCGAGGAGGTGCGCTGCTGAGAGGGAAGAAGTCGTCGAAGGTCAGGTCCCCAGCTCCCGTGAGCACAATACGACGAGACTCGCGGCTTCGTTCTTCGTTCTCGTAGCACGAAGCGCGACCACCTAGGGTAACATTGCCACCTGCGCTTCGGCTTGCGCAGTAGGGAGGGTCGTATGAAGATACCGATGAGGTCGAGGCACGAGATTCCTCCTCCTCTGCTAGCTCAGGGAGGGTGTCAAGTGTTTTAGGCTTGCTTGTCTTTGTGCGAGTACGGGGACGTCGCTTCAAGTTCGTGATCAAGCTCTTGCTTGAGAATACTGGAGAAGCTTCATAAGTTGCCCGACTCGAGTAACCAAAAGAGCAAAGCAAACTTACTGCTGTTCATCATGAGTAGAAAGTTCTATGAGATGTGAAGAAATAATCGTATCAGAGTCAACTAACACTGGAAGGAGAAGATAGCTCTGCTATGAGTGTAGAAGCATAGAGCGATGAGGAGAGGACCAGCCTGGGTGTCGCCTTTAGTATTCGAGGAGAAGATAGCAAACCCTGCTGCCTTTTGTGCTTCAAGGCCATTGTCACCAGCAATTGTGTTTCGGACACAGCAACGTCGCGTGCAGGAACAAAAGAACGCGAATTTTGGGAACAATGCAACGCGCCTATTTAGACAATAGGCCACATTAGCGCCCGGCGTTCAACTGGCAACAAGGGAGGCCATTTGTCCGTCCATCCTGGCCAGGGCTCCCGTCGCGTGCGTATCGTATACTTATACGTTAGTTTTGAATGTTGAATATTTGAATCGTGGTCATGGTCAATGTCGCGGTGACGGTGGAGAATGTCCGCTATGGAGATGGACGCTTCTACTCAGGCGCTTGACACGCGTTGACGCGTTGAACATGTGACTTTGTCGATGACCTAAAAAAGGCGAAAACTTGAAGGACGTGGTTGTTAACGTCCACGTACCTCTGCCTCAATATTTTCGTTGAAACTGCTGCTCTACCTGCTAGACTCTTGGTGCCAGGGACCCTAGTCTAAGTTGGATGTTCGCAAACGCCTTCAGCAGGTTTCAACTATACCTACTTGAGTAGCTCACCAGCTAACGCGTATGCCATCATGGTCTCCACATGAGGATTTCCCTGAACTGTGTTCTGTTATGGTGCTTTAAGCATGACTACCCTAGTTTCGCAGAGCTCACTGGTGGTAGAGGTATGCTCCTCTTTCCCTCCAATTGATTTCGGGCGTTGAACTTCGATGGCTAGTGTTAGTCTCTCACCTATTTTCTGTCCTGCCCCTCCCCGTTTGGCCATCGCGCTCATGCAGATGACAGCTATGAGAGGCTGAACGCAACGCTACAGCCTTATCCTTAGGTGAGCCTCCTTTGAGAAAAGCGGCCTCTGACATCTGCAGATCCTCGAACCTCGCGTTGCTGCAGTTCACCCGCTTCCCGGGCGCACGGAGGACCGGACCTCGATATCTGGCGTTATGGCTTAAAGCCATTCCCGCGCCCATTTGTACTCTGGATCGCCCCGTCGCCCCTCCTTTGTGGTCAACGTTATTGTCCTTCATGTGGGCGACTTACTGTCCCTGTTCGTTCCCATGCCCTCTCGCGTAACATCCTCGTCACTCTTATCAAGCTCGTCTGCCGACAGGGTACTAACACCAGACGACGACATGCATATCACCCTTTTGGTCGAGCCACTATTGTCTCACTGCCGAGGACATGATCATGCTTCACACGAGTCTTCCGCTCTCCATTTCACGACGGACTCTCGCTTTCTATCGTATTTTCCAAGGACGATCTGCTAAGGACTCTGGTAAAACATCTCTCTGCTACATATCTGACGACGAAAGTCTGTTGGTTGTGCTTTTAATCTTCAATTTTCTGCTTCGCAAGTTCAACTGGAAACGCTCTCTTGACTCGATATACATCCTTACGAATTAGAATATTCTTTGAGCCAGCACCTCCGTGGCAATCATTTGTTATGTCAGTCGCCTCATGGGATTACTTAACTAGTACTGGTCTTCTTTCCAGTCACTTTCTGGCAACCTGAGCGGCGCGACTGGTTACATTCCAAGGATCGCCACGTTCACAAGGACAATATGATCTGTCACACTGTCAAGAGGTCCTTGCTGTCGACTTCTTGCCTCATGGCTTTGCGAGTGATAAGCTTGCGTGTCCTTCGAGGGACTCGTAATGACCTTTCTCCTGTGTCTTGAATAACTGTTGGATTGAACAGTCCCCCACACAAACGGAACCTTCATTCATGCCACCGCCTTGAATACTGGCAATGTCGTCCCTCCAGCGCGACCACATGTCTGACACAATCCTTGCGGCTGCTACTTGCTCCATTGCACGATTGCATTGCCTCGGCGACACATCTGCACTATGTCCTCCCGTCATCCCCTTCACATACTACCATACCAGGTGCGAATTGCGCGGGTATTCGTAACGAGTTGATACAGCGAAACCAAGTATGTTCTTTTCCTCTGCGTTCAGTGCGCTGACGAATGTGTAGCCAGATACATTGCTCAGTCTCGGGAAGCTATCTATCAGCATATTCCCTGGGAACATGAGTCTTTCTCGTTATGCTCAAAGGATTGCTGTGAGTCTCAATATATCTTCTTGCTTTGCGTTGGTATGAGGGCGCAAGAGGTACGACGCAAATTATCAATATAGCTCGATGCAGCGATGGTGCGATGACATCCTTCCATTATGTTCGAACGGGGTTCTAGCATGTATTTTGTTGGAGCAAAGTGTCGTAGAGGATCTTTTGCATCGTAGTCAAGCTCTGGAAGTTAGGTGAACAGCTGGGCCGATAGGTTTGGATCACATTTCCAACTGCGCCCGACTGCTATCAACGCCTTCGTCATGCATTCTTGGCTGTCGC